CACACACACACAAACAAACAAAACACCAATAAAGAAAACGAAAACATAAAGAAGAAAGAAAAGGCAAAGAAAAACACGCAATGTATGGGGAGGAGGAGGAGGAAGAGATTGCGAGGCCGAGAACTCCACTTCCTCATTGCCCTTTTCCCTTTCTCTCTCTCTTTTTTTTTTTTTCTCTCTGTCTTTTTTTTTCTCTCTCTCTCTCTCTCTCTCTCTCTCTCTATATATATATATATATATATATATATATATATATATATATATATATATATATCTTAGGTCTATCCGTCACTTCAAGAGCGTGGGCTCGATCAACACAAAAAAGCTTACGGTCATCGGCACATTTCACAGAATTGTGGCAAATATTCAAATGAAGACATAACAACCGTTTTAAAGTTGCAAGCTACGGAGTTCAAACTGCTGGAATTCCCATGGCAGGTTATCCAAACGGCCATTCTGGCGTATATCAAGAATTGCAAAGACAAAGACGTACGGGATATATTCATCAAATTCCTGGAAAACGAGGACAAATACGAAACAAACAGAAAGAGAAAGCGGTGATGTAGATTATTGTAAATTATTGTAAATAGTTGCATAAAGGTTCTGAAAAATCCAGACCTCATACACAGAAAATCAGCAGATAAGTACGTACCTGAAAAGACGACGGAGCCAAAATGAAAAACAAAACGAAAAACAAAAACAAAAAATAAATAAAACGAAAAATAAAAACAAAAACAAGCAAACGATGAGCACATATTTCCTTGTAAAATAAAATAAAATAAAATAAAATAAATAAAATAAAATAAAATAAAATAAAAATAAAATAAAATATAACAGCAAAATCAGGTTAGTAACAAAAGAAAAGAAACGGAATTATCTTCCCGATTGAAAAAAACTAAGACATGTAAAATATAATAACCAAGGAGGAACGCACGAGAAACTTGAGAGACGGAGGAAATATTTTTGGCGCTACAACCAGAAGTAGGGATGAGAACATAGATGAATCTGCGGACGGTATTCAGCGGAGAGAATTATAAATTACGAAGGAGTGTTTTTTGTGAAAAATACGAGAAAGAAGGATATCCAAATATATAGGACTACGGGGAGGTTCATTGGAAGCAGGGATGAGTTGGGTGAAATTGTAAAATATGGAGGAGGAACTTTTTTGAGAAATACGATAGGAATTATATCCAGCCAGAAAAGACTACGGGGGTTATCGACGGAAACAGGGATTAGGCGGGTAAAATTGGAAAATATGGAGGAGGGACTGTGGACAAAAGATGATAGAAATTATATCCAGATAGAGAGAACTACTGGATTTATCGTTGAAGCAAGGATGAGTCGGGTGAAAGTGAAAGATACGGAGGAAGGACTTTAGAAAAACTTGGTAGGAATTATATCCAGATGGAAAGGACTACGGGAATATCGTCCGAAGCAGGAAGGATTCGGGAGAAATTGTAAAATACGGGGAAGGGACTTTGTGAAAATTACGATGACATTTATATCCGGAGAGAAAACGTGCGTGGAGTTAGAGGAAGGATTCATCAGATACGAGTTGGGACCAAAAGCAGATACAGAAGGAGAGAGAATAGCAAGAGTAGGAGGACACTTGGGAGATGAAAGGACTACGGGAGTATCGTCTGAAGCAGGAAGGATTCAGGAGAAATTGTAAAATACGGGGAAGAGACTTTGTGAAAATTACGATGACATTTATATCCGGAGAGAAAAGTGTGTGGAGTTAGAGGAAGGATTCATCAGACACGAGTTGGGACCAGAAGCAGATACAGAAGGAGAGAGAATAGCAAGAGTAGGGGGACACTTGAGAGATGAATATCCAGCGGCTGAAATGGTGACGACGAAATTATGCGACTAAGGACGTGATGAAGAAGAGTATATTACAGGTTAGAGGATGGATAGGTGGGGAGGGACTAGAGGCGTACAGTATAAATACCTGGACGATGGCTGGGATGATTACCTGAGCAGAGAGGCAGACGGACGATCGCGACTTGTTGTTGTCGCATGCCATGGACAGGACGTGTATTCTGTGAGAGTAAAGCCTCGCACGTATTGTCCAATTCGCAAGTGTTATCTCGACGCACGGTGCTTTGAACGCACGGGTGGTACCCGTGAAGATCGGCACTGCATTAAGTCAATATGTACATTGTCTCGATTACATACTTGTTTTTAGTACTAACCCGTGGTTGGTGTCCGTGCTGCATCAATTCTTTACTTCAGTAATTTGAGCGTGGAGATTGGCGAAATGGAGATTGATGCATTGGAGATTGTCGTGTAGGAGTTTGGAACTCTTGGTTTTTACGCGTCTTCGGTTCGGATAGTGTTATCCATATCATTGCGATTTAATCCAGCTGTAGTTATTATTGAAGGCATCAACTGGTATCTAACATCTTGTTGCACGTTAATTGTGGCACTGTGAACGAGCATCCTACACTCCAGGACTTCCAGGGATGGCGCGCTCGCGCACAGCGGAACGTAGGCGGGGTAGATACTCATCTCCATCACCGACAATGTCGCAGGACAACCGCCGGTCACACAGAGGACGCTCAAGATCTCCACCCAAGGAGAGATCAAGATCAAGATCCAGATCACGAAGAAGACGAAGAGCGGCATCTGAGTCACCAAAGAGATACGCAAGACCTCAATGGGAGATCAGAAGAAACGATTTTCCCCCACCGGAAAATCGAGCTTGGTTCACGACCGATCTTAAGGAGGAGATTTTTGCACTAAGGAGGGACTATGACAAGATATGCAAGACAAACGAGCTGCTGCTGACGAAGATTGAGGACTTGACAAAGGTGGTACAGGAGCTGAAGAAGACGAAAGATGGCGAGGGTGATAACAAGATAGAAAAAGGGAAGAGAACGACCGAGAAGGTGAACGCAAAGGAGGATGGACGTATATCACCAGCACAAGTACAAACGATGATTGACAAAACACTTGAGACAGCAATTCCGAAAGCAGCAAGAGCAGGGACCAGTCAACAAACACAGAACGTCAATACTACGAATGGAAGCGCTCAAGTAAGAAACCAAGAAAGGATGGAGAAGCTAGTCTCGGAGATGCGGAAGGAGGTGGACGAGATGAAGCTGATGAAATATGAAATGGCTGCAGTGAAGGGAGCACTACACAAGATCAACGAGCCTGCAAGAACACGCACTCCACACGTCTCATCAACAGTGCAGCAAACAATGTTTCGTGGAGTGGATATGGTCGGCCCAGGATCAGTTGGGAGAGCACAACGTACGACATCGATGGGAAATCCAAGTGGACATCTGGGAGCTTACACGATCAGGATCCCAGCAACAAGACGACCCAGCTACAGTGCACCAAGCCGACCATTCCCACCACCACCAACGAGAAGGAGGACAAAGGTGAGAAGGAGAATCAGCAAGAACAAGAGAAGAATGAAGCGGGATGTGAATTTCGGCATCTTACCAGTGACTTACACACAACTGGTGAGAACGCACTACACAGATCTAAAAGATCTGTGCAAGATGCACAACATCAGGTATAAGGACAAACCACAAGCTATAGCAGCATTGCATAGAGTCCCAGGACTGGTCAAGTATCAAGGACGGGACTTCGTTCATGACTCAGCCAAGGAAACTCAGATAGAACCAGAGAATCAACGTATGGACATATCAAGCACGAAAGATGAAAGTTATGAAGAAGTTGAGAGTGACGAGGAGAAGGAGGAGGGAGAAGATGAAGATGATGATTCAGAATCAAGTGAAGAGGAGGACTTATCATCAACTTCATCAAGCTCCCAAGACATCCAGGGAAGGTAGATGTGCCAGGGCCGAAGGATGACCTTACTACGGACGAGAAATGGGAACACATACACAGACTAGCATCAAAGGTGAATACGTTAGTAAACACGGGCAAGATGAGTAAATGTACGGAAGTGAATAAAGCATACAGACACATGTTTATATCTCTAGCTGTTGACGGAGAGATACCACGAGCGGGAACTTTAGTGGATATGTTGACAACACAAAAGGAGAAGCTGGATTCACTTCTGGAGGATACTTATAGTGTATATGTACTAGTATCACCGTGGTGCAGGCATATGTACATAGGACGGACTGGCAAAAAACCGGATAAGAGATGGATGGAGCATATCAACCTAGCCCGGAATCCGAGTAGAGGGGCGCAACGGAAACTATATAGCTGGTTAAACAGACATTTCGTTAAAATTGACATTTTTTACTATTTTCACGAAATTGATCTTCCAAAAAAGCACAGTATTTTTTAGTATTTTTTTGTGTCGACCACATCAGACCATTGATGGTCAGGCGTCCCCAGGACGCCGGACCATCTGATCTGCCTTGATTTCTTTTCATTTTTTTCTGACCCTCGGATGTATTTTGACGGTACTTTACTTCGAGATACATTAGATGGTCCGGAGTCCCCAGGACTCCGGACCATCAATGGTCCAATGTCGTGGGCACAAAAACACGCTAAAAAACACAGTTTTTTCTTGGATGCCCAATTTCGTGAAAATAGTAAAAAATGTCAATTTTAACGAAATGTCAGTTGTTACATAAATTCGAATGGGAGAAGTACGTATTGATACCGATATGGACAGGGGTAAAATCGGAAGCAAACGCAATGGAAGAAATGCTGATCAAAAGGTTGAACCCATACTTGAACACCAGAGGGAGAGGAAAGAAAAAGAACAAGGCAAAGAATCGGAGGAGGAAAGAAAGGAAAGACAAACTTAGGATTATTAATCAAAATATTCTGATACTGTTCAGAACTACAAGAAGTGCATACACAATGAAGTTGACACATATATTTAAACCAAAAGCGACTGTCGAAAGTAAACCTGGAGGAATATGGCATGAAAAGTGGAAAGTGATAAAACGTACTTATGACTCTACTATTATCAAAATTGAGGGTGTGAAATTCATGCTGAAGGAATGCCGACAGAGAATTCAGCGAGGTTGTAAATTTCACATTGTCCAATTAGTATACACTGGACCATCCACAAACAGGCACAGGAATATGTTGATTAACTGCTTGAGGGCGCCATTGAAAAGGAATGAATTATATAAATTGTCACTTGATGAGATTCTGGTACTCTTGTCAAAAGTAGGATCAATTACCGGAAAGAAGCAGAGAGGCACGATTAAAGATATTTCCACACATGGATATCGAAAAAGAAATTCTCATTCAACATAAAACGAAGACTCGAGTTCAAAATTTCATACGCAACAAGGATAAATCTAAGACAGGTAAAGAAAGCAGCAACAACAACGATAAGAGAAAATGTTATCATAATCTGGCGGAAGATCAAATTCCACGTATGAGAGTGTTGTTTCAAAAAGCAAGGACAGTTAGGGAAATTCTGCTCAATCACATGATAGTTGTGGAGAAATCCCCTACTTGTCCTTGCGACACCAGTGAACTGATAAAAAATGATGGACATGTGGCTTGTCGATTGAGTGAGATTGAGAACAATGAACTGCTATGGAACGCAAAGAACGTGCCACAAACGAACGACAGGGTGGGAAAAAGTGAAATACGAAAAATCATAAAAAAGACTATTACCACGATACCTCAAAGTTTGAGGTACTTGATATGCAACCCACTCAAGTATCAGAATACATCAACACGAAGATCAAAGAAGTACGGACGGGATTGGACATCACAGATGTATGGAAAATCAAGAATAAACTAAAAAACTTCATACCGTCACCTCTTGACAGAAATCCAGGAGAAACATTCATTGAATGCCCGGAAGCATGGTACAAAAAGACCAAAACATTTTTTCTTGAGTCACCATATTACGAGATTGTTCAACAAAGCGAGGATGAGGTGGTGAAACTTTCCAGGAACACGTATGAAGCATGTGGATTAAAAAGGATAGCTGACTGGGATGACAACGGGACATATGGGAATGTGTACACGATCCCAAAGAACAAAGACATAACCAGACGAAGACCGATAGTGCCCACCTATAATGAACCATCAAGGTATGCATCGAAAATTTTGTCAAGATCTATAAACTTCCTATGCATAAGCTACAAACTGAGATTTAATCTGCAAGGAACAAACCAACTCGTACCGAGACTGAAGGAATGTAACAAAACGGCGATGGAAATGTATGGACACAACGCTACGTTGATTTGTCCAACATATGATGTGAAAGACATGTCCTCAAATCTGGACCACACACACATCATGCGCACCATGCAATGGATAATCGAGGTAGCTAAAGAAAAGAGGAAAACACACTTATGCTACAAAGTACGGGGAAAGTACATCAACTTCAGAAAGTCGAATAACACATATGGATGGAGAACGATAAAAATCGAGTTATTGCTTGATATGCTCTACTACGACATAAGCAATGTCTATTTCAAAGTTCAAGGAAATGTCATGCGACAAATTAAAGGGGTACCAATGGGCAAAGGATCTAGCCCACCGATCGCAAACCTTGTATGTGCATACGATGAACACAATTGGATAACGGGAATTGGGTTGGACAGATGATTGATACATGGCATGTGATTCGTAGAGAATGTAATGATGATCATGATAGCAGAGAAAGGAAGGCTTGCTTTTGGTCATTTGAAAGGTGTTATTATCCATCCCTGAAGTTGGAAACCACGACAGAAATCGGCAGCAGAAAATAGAATTATCTGGAGACAACGGTAACGAAGATGGAAGATGAACCCCTCCTGAAGTGCGCGCATAAACTTAAGAATGAGACAACACTCCAAAAGGGGATGTTGAACTCTCTCTCTCTCTCTCTTAGGTCTATCCGTCACTTCAGGAGCGTGGGCTCGATCAACACAAAAAAACTCACGATCATTGACACATTTCACAGAATCGTGGCAAATATGTATTCACATGAAGACATAACAGTCGTTTTAAAGTTGCAAGCTACGGAGCTCAAACTGCTGGAATTCCCATGGCAGGTTATCCGAACGGCCATTCTGGCGTATATCAAGAATTGCAAAGACAAAGATGTACGGGATATATTCATCAAATTCCTTAAAAACGAGGACAAATACGAAGCAAACAGAAAGAGAAAGCGGTGATGTAAATTATTGTAAATAACTGCATAAGGGTTCCGAAAAATCCAGACCACATACACAGAAAATCAGCAGATAAGTACGTACCTGAAAAGACGACGGAACCAAAATGAAAAACAAAACGGAAAACAAAAACAAAAAACAAACAAACGAAAAATAAAAACAAAAACAAGCAAACGATGAGCACGTATTTCCTTGTAAAATTAAAAAAAAAAAAAAAAAAAACAAATAGAACAGCAAAATCATGTTAGTAACAAAAGAAAAGAAACGGAATTATCTTCCCGATTGAAAAAACTAGGACATGTAAAATATAATAACCAAGGAGGAACGCACGAGAAACTTGAAAGACGGAGGAAGGATTTTTGGCACTACAACCAGAAGTAGGGATAAGAACATAGATGAATCTGCGGACGGTATTCAGCAGAGAGAATTATAAATTACGAAGGAGTGTTTTTTGTGAAAAATACGAGAAAGAAGGACATCCAAATATATAGGACTACGGGGAGGTTCATTGGAAGCAGGGATGAGTTGGGTGAAATTGTAAAAAATACGGAGAAGGGACTTTTTTGAAAAATACGATAGGAATTATGTCCAGCCAGAAACGACTACGGGGGTTATCGACGGAAACAGGGATTAGGCGGGTAAAATTGGAAAATACGGAGGAGGGACTGTGGACAAAAGATGATATAAATTATATCCAGATAGAAAGGACTACTGGATTTATCGTTGAAGCAAGGATGAGTCGGGTGAAAGTGAAAAATACGGAGGAAGGACTTTAGAAAAACTTGGTAGGAATTATATCCAGATGGAAAGGACTACGGGAATATCGTCCGAAGCAAGAAGGATTCAGGAGAAATTGTAAAATACAGGGAAGGGAGTTTGTGAAAATTACGATGACATTTATATCCGAAGAGAAAAAGTGCGTGGAGTTAGAGGAAGGATTCATCAGACACGAGTTGGGACCAAAAGCAGATACAGAAGGAGAGAGAATAGCAAGAGTAAGAGGACACTTGGGGGATGAAAGGACTACGAGAGTATCGTTCGAAGCAGGAAGGATTCAGGAGAAATTGTAAAATACGGGGAAGGGACTTTGTGAAAATTACAATGACATTTATATCCGGAGAGAAAAGTGTGTGGAGTTAGAGGAAGGATTCATCAGACACGAGTTGGACCAGAAGCAGATACAGAAGGAGAGAGAATAGCAAGAGTAGGAGGACACTTGGGAGATGAACATCCAACGGCTGAAATGGTGACCGCGAAATTCTGCGACTAAGGACGTGATGAAGAAGAGTATACTACAGGTTAGAGGATGGATAGGTGGGGAAGGACGAGAGGCGTACGGTATAAATACCTGGACGATGGCTGGGATGATTACCTGAGCAGGAGGCAGAAGGGTGATCGTTACTGGTTGTTGTCACATGCCATGGACAGGACATGTATTATGTGAGAGAAAATTCTCGCACGTAATGTCCAATTCGCAAGTGTTCTCTCTCTCTCTCTCTCTCTCTCTCTCTCTCTCTCTCTCTCTCACACACACACACACACACACACACACACACACACAC